GCCAATAGTCTTTTCCCTCAAAGGCGCACAATCAAGTTCCCTCATTTGGAAAAGGACATTGCTGTCCATGTCCACTACGGCGAAACCCCGGCTGATCAATCCAGGTTAAATATTATATCAAATGGCAGGCTTTATGATAGTTATCATAAGCCCTTTAGTTGACTTCAGGCTTCACAGGGGGAGAGGAACATCAAATCGGAAAAAGTCGAGAGGGGGGAACAGAAGAGTGTTTTAAAGATGTAAAAGAGACAGACACAAAGGTAGATGAAAGGTGAGGTGAGTACTGTGAAAGTGGTCGAATATGACATACAGTGGGGTCATGATAGCTTGAACTCAGAAGTCAACTACCGGTTTAAAGACTTTTTTTGCCTCATGAATATACGTTAAATATAAGATACTTACTTAATTATCGTAAGTAAATATAATTGTTGGTTTCCGATTTAGTTATCTACAGGGTAGTCATGCCATCTTGAGAGTGAATGTCTCAGGCGTGAACGATGCGATTGAGAATTTCCGACAGGCTGTGGACGGACCGCATTCAGTGAAGGTACATTTGGAACTGGATGCCAATGGTCTTCTTCAAACGTCAGAGGTGAATCTCATAATAGTTCACGAAGAAGACGAGAAATCGAGAATTGAAAGTTAGTGCCTCACTATTTTGATTTCAAGTTTTATGAAGGTATATTCGTAAATGTTATAACTTATAGAACTTAAGGGGTTATTATCAAGTAAGTCGAAGGCTTTTTTTTAAATCTCACCAGTGTCGTTCCACCAATAATGGGTTTGGACTTTGTGTTGTTTATTCTCGTTCCTTTTTTTCCTTCGCATGATTTAGATTAATGTTTCAAATGCGATAAAATTTGAGGTGTTGCAGACCTACTGCTAGTAATAACGAACTATATCCTAAAGACATTTAGCTGCGAACAATTAGTGTCGTAAAAACACACTTAAGACGCACTTCATCAAATTTCTTGCGATGGAAATTATAAACCTTGAAAGCTGTATATATATTCCATTCAGCTGAAACATGCACTTTATGTAAAACAAGCGTCTAGTCCCTCAGTGTTCTTTGTCTCTCAATCCATTAATGCCCTTGTCTATCGACCTAGTCGAGGTGGGACTGGGGGAAGTGAGGGAATGTGTGCTCCTTAACACAAAGATTCAGAGTGCTATTTCTTTGTTCAATGCTAGTGTTAAAAGCGATTTCCATCAGCAAGCTTATCATCGTCATAATAAATTTGCTATCGATTTACGTATTTACTACACTAAATATCAATTTCTTGCCAAAGTCGTGATGCCATGAGTTTGCTTTCAGGCTTAAAATAATCCGCTTATCATTGCCGGACTTTTTTTCACGGTTGCTATTCTTCTTTTCTTCTCACTCCTTTATATTATACATATCATATTATACTTTTATCAAGAACTCACTGATGGGATATCAAATCTCTTTGGATCCGGAGATCAGAAAGAGACGAAAGAGGACACCGAACAAAAGACCACCGAAACTCTACCTCCAACAACAGATCAGTCTGAAAGCCCTGATACAGTACGTTGAGTTAAAGTTAGGTTTGTTTTATTTTTAAGATTACAAGTCCCATTTCTATTGTTTCACTTCAGAAACAATCTGAGGAGTCTTCAACCACTCAGAGTCCCGAGCCGACTGAAAGCACCACTACCGCGTCTCCTCCTCTTCTACAGAAGAAAGTAAGTAGCAAAATAAGTTCTTCTAATAAGTAGTTGATTTCATGGAATTTGTTTTTAAACATGCCCTATGTGCATTTTGTACACGTCATACAACTATCTGCTCTTTGTCTAGACAATGATTCATCCTCTCATATTCAACACGGAAATTCTGGACCCTGTAAATCCTCCAACTGAATCAATTGGCGCGTCTATGGCAATGTAAGTGTTTGCCCTTCCCCCCCCCCCCCTATTTTTAGCCTGCAGTCGTTTTTCTTTTTTGTCAAGCCTAACCTGATTGGATGGGCGTTTCTCATTCCAGTCAAAATGACCTATCGTGTGTTTATAGTGCTGGTAATCAACAAGTTCTTGCGTCTCTCGATCTGCCTCTTCATTCAAGGTGGTGTTGGGCTACCGTTTTTTTGACAATCTTTTAAGCTCGTGGGTTAAATTAATTGAGTAAATTGTTAACCTCCTTCGAAAGGAAACATTCAAATATGACCCAAATCCATCTAATTAGTGTAAGGTAAGAAAAGTCTTTAGAGGGTGGAAGGACATTTCGATTTTATTGAGGTAATTTACCATAATGGCATTGCTTTAGTGGACCCAAATTAAGAAGTGGGAATACGCTGCGACAATCACTGCTAGCTTTATCTCCATTGTTTTAATTGGTCATTATAAAACTTGGCATTTCTTTGTGAGTTTGATTGTTTGTTTGATTGTTACTATGACGGTTTGTTCATAACTAAGCATGATTCTGTAAACATTTGATTTAACTACTGCCACCTTAATTACCATCCCACTGATTTACCGTAATGCGTATGGTCAAATATGGGGTTTGAAATGCACTCTGTTCATCTTCCTTCGGATTCAATCAGTGCAATCGCATTTGCCACAATTCACTCCTCCTAACTAGATAAGGAATTAGAAGGTTGACATTTCGATTTCTAAGTTGTTCCCCACTTTTATGCGATTTTGAATCATTTCAGTAATCTCATCAGATTAAAGCTGGTTTGAAATTTGATGTGTCTAAGTCTTTGTTGCATTAAATTTCTTCTGTAAGCATGAATACCTTTCAAAATATTATAGCACTAAATCCATTGCAAATTAATTTCTTATTTATGTTTTTTTCTAGTCTTCATGAATTTGAGGCCGCTGATAAAGAGCGTAGTTTGTTACTCGAAGCCAGGAATCAATTGGAGCGGACAATTTACGACACTCGTAGAGATATCGAGGAGGAATTCGCTGAATATACAACCAGAGAAGAAATAGACAATCTCAGTACCATCACTAAGACTACTTTTCTGTGGTTCGACGATGAAGGTCACTTTGCTCCAAGATCGGTAAGCAATACTTGTTCTCCTATCAATGAGGTATAGGTATATTTTTTGACTGCTAGTTGTTTCTACTTCACATTACCTAGGCTATTGAAGAACATCTCGACAAGTTACGTGAGGCCATTGACCCCATCAAACGCCGCATTAAAGCCTTCACTGAACTACCTCAAGCCCTAACTGCACTGAAAGAGCTGTTGACACGTACTGCAGAGCCTCTTCAAGTTGTGATGGAGCTGAATAGTGCCTCAAACACCTCTACTGCATCAGAGTATATTATGACCCTCAATGACTCCCTAACCACGGAGGAAGAAAATAGAAAGACGGGTCTGCCCATCTACTCACTGGGGGATGTGGAGAGTATGAAGAAGATTATTGATGAGACTAAGGTAAGTACTGTGTTTGGTTGGTGTATTTTGTGTATTTTTGGCTTTAGTGAGTAAACAGAGATGAAACGTTGCCTGTGCTTAATTGCACTTAACTAGTCTTAAAACGTGGAATTGCGACATATGATGTGTTCATATTGCACTATGTTGTGAAACATCTATTGAGGTTGTTTTTAATTCACAACTTTAATTTTTACCACCTTCATGGCTTATTATTTGGCATGGTTTGAGATATTTATTGTTGTCACTGATGTGACGGCTGACCGCACTATGGTATACGTCGACTTCCAAGTCTTTCGGCTCTTTTTTAAGAAGTAAGATCTGGTTGTGAGGCCAGCTTGCTCTACTTGATTGACCATGAATATAGTAGTGAAGGCACAGCTATTGGTAACGTGTATCGAAAAATGCTCAATTCTGCCGCTCTACTAACATGATTCCCTGAATATTACTTTCACTCAATCGTATTTGAAATTTTTTTTTCGCAAGAGATAAATCCGTTTAAAAAAGAGTGTGCTTTCGAGCTGAGCTCATTTAAAAACGGTTGCTTAAATTTAAAAACCAAAAAAACAGTTGAATGGTTGCACTAGGTGGTTAATGGAGAAATAGTTTAGTGCTTAAACTTAGGGGTTTTAATCCTGTTTCAGGAAATATTTTCTAGTACTTAATGTTATGATATAAAGCATAAAATGACATATTAATATCCTCAAGAGCGAGAAGTCTACTAATTGTCTATATTTGAAATATTCCTACATATCCGTATAATAAATTAAGAAAGAATAATCTTTGGCCTAGTTATGATTTATTTTTATTGAACTCTTTTTTTAAGCAGCTTTCCTACGAATAACTAAAATGGATGTCTATCTTGGAACCTCCCCGAATAAAGCTCAATCGTGCTATCCTAATTCATTACCTTGTGTACTTCCTATTCGTGCATTACACGTCATAATGACGGGCAATTGGCACTTTTTAAATTCATCTTAATTTGATTTGAGCGCAAATTTGGTTTTACTTCAAGCGCAGACTTTTCAAATCAAATTCCTGCGAGAGAGAGTCTGGTTGATGCGCGGTCCTGTCATTGTGTCATTTTTTCGAATCTTATCATTTTACGCCAAATGATTTGTCTTTAAATGGTCTCATTGTTACCTGAAGGCCCCTCTACAATGAACTAGGCAAATTCTACTTAAAGAGGCGCGTTCGTCAATATATCTCCTCTTTTAAGTATTCTTTTTATTGGAGCAGAATAGGCGATGAAAGCATTATAATTATAGCTACGTGTAACTATGCCGTAATTTACTTTTTACCAATGGTTTATACACTTAACTGCTTTCTACTCGGGTAATTTAGTCACCCTGATGCATACAATTGCATTGGTACTTAGACCACTTTGGAAGCACGACATCCATATCCTTAAAGGAGCCCGATAGATTACCATTTGATGAAAACCCTGTCCCTGAAGAAGGAATTCACTTCGGAGTGTCACTTTTTTCTTTTTACGTCCCTTTAGTGTAAGACTAGGTGTCAGAAAATTGTGCTTATGTCGCAATTGACCTAATTTATATTGCTATATATGTATGTATATATATATAATACTTTGAGGACTTTGATCTGAAAAGCTGATAATGGTATGTTATGAGATCTGACAAATATGGAGGGGCGGGGGGGGGATGGAGCAAAAAGTCCCAGTTCGTTTCCTGAAATTTTTGAGGGTTCATCCTTGCTCTAAAGTCGGGTATTGTCATTCTGGAGATTCATTCCTTTTCTGTTACATCAATAAATCTCGATTGTAACTGTTTTGCGATGCTTCATATATAGTTTACGTATTATCTGATTCAGCCGGGGGATTTTACTATGCGATCATCAAGACTTGTGGCCTTTCCTGATTTCGGAGCACAATCGAAACTCCCATTGCCCTACAGACTGTAAGCACACTGGACCATAAATTGAAGTATTGGGTTCACCAGGCGTTCAAGCCCTGATAGAAGAAAAAAAGCAGCATTCAATTTCTGTCTTGTGTATTCTATGCCTTTTTTGAGGTTTTGAAACTTTACTCTTAACGAGAAAGCAAATTTTATTGCACATAAGTAATGCGCAAAAATTTATCTACAAAGGTCAAAAGCCTACACCATATCTGGACGCGAACTGAACTCCTCTAACACATAGTCTGCAAATTTCTATATTTTAAAATTCTTGCCTATTCTGAAACAAATTATTATGCAATATCCCTCTTGATTTTACAGTAACCCCGTTGGCAGTGGAATTCGAGTTTTTTCGCCCATTTGCTCATTACGGTTGGATTTTTGTTGGAGTTTACATGATGATTGCCAGTCCTTTCTCATTTTGTTCTACTAAGTAGTAATGGGGACTAAATAAAATGTATTTTACAATAAGCACGTTGATCTGTACAGAACAAGTATATTATCTGTACACGAAGATCCAGTTTCCGTTTTTTCTACCTTTTCCTTTGCCACATTGTTATAGAGCATTGAGAGCATCACATAATTAGTATGAACCAACTTATTTTCGCTTTGACAAAGCAATCAGTGCATATCCTCAAGAATTCGCCTTTTATCGGCAATGTATTGAGTATCCTCAAATGCTTCAGAATGATTCGAATGTCTTTCCTTTTTTTCCTCTCTAGACCTTCCTAAAAGAGACGAATGTGGCCCTGAATAATTGCGACAAGCGAGCCGATCCCCCAGTACGCCTGTCGGCAGTCACAGAGAAGGCGGCAGCTCTCTCCGCCAAATTGGACTACTATGGTCACAAGGGAGAGATTTGGTTTGCCACCTACAAACGTCTCTTCGTCATCAAAAAGGAGGCCCTTGCCAATGCGGCTAAAATGGCCAATGCCACTATCAGTAAGTGGTGATTTTGGTACTCTTGAAGCGTCTTATGGTCTCCTTGTGATGACTAAGTGGAGGCTTTTTTCTTCCTTCCTTTGTCTTTAGATGCTACTGAAGTTAACGAAACACTTTCTGACCCTCTCAAGGAGGAAGTGGAGGAGGCGGAGGACGGTAAGTATTGTAACTCATTGGGAACTCGCCTTTAAAGGTCACTTTGAAAACACGTCCTAGCTTGTTGTATAAATTAAAGCTTGTTTGTTAGATCGAATCAGTCGTTTATAGATCTCCATTTCAAATATGTGTTTTATATCATAAGAACCTGATTACCATTAATAGACTTATCCACACTTCTTTACTACATAATATGTATTTGTCGCAATTTTGGTTGCAAAAAAAATAGATTTTAGTGTATACCCATACACTCATTGTCAAAGTAACCGTGTTTTCGTAGGATTGACGACTGTCAATTAATATTTTGATTATAAAATAAATAAGTCTAATGTAGTTGTCAGCACTTGTCTAATCATTTTCAAATGCAAAATATAAGTCCCTTTTCGGTTGTTCGATTCCATTCAAAACAATGCATCGTAGTCTTAAAGTACACAAAGAACTTGAAAACGAGAAAACCATACTCCTTTACACTTTAAGGCCCCCAAATCTGACTTCTCAAAAGCTAGATAATTTAATTTTCCTTAATTGCAGAGCCTAAGTTTATCTTGTTTTTAGCCTTGTGTATTTTTAACATTGATTTTTATTTAATTGATCCACAGAGCCGTGTTTTATCGATTTTCAATTAGTCTTCATATTTCCCACATTTTTATAACTTGTTTCTTGCTCTGCAGCAGAACCATCAGTGACTACTGAAGAGCCAACCGAAACTCCGAAACCAGAAAGTAAGTAAACCGTATTTTACTTAAACACCATCGTCAAGTTTGCCTCTTTTACATGTACATGTTCTCAAGATGCGTCATGCACTGAATTCTCAAGATAATTTTATATAATTATTCCCTTAGATTTTGGTTGGCGTTTTAGTCGGCTTAGTTTTCATTGACCGCATGCCTGCACTTCATAAAGCCTATTAAGTAGCATGGGACTCAATTGCTTCCTCTTTTATTTTAGCATCAACTCCCCGGTCAGAGCTCTAAGAAGAAGAAGTTCCATCGATGAATTCCTACAGTCTGTGTTGATAATTTCCAATTTTGTTACTCTTACTTCGAGGAGGGTTGCCTCTTTGTCTTATTAATTAAGAAAACCCCTTTTGGACGTTTCAAAGTGTGCATCTATCTCTATCCTCTTCATTGTGTATAAAAAAAGCTTTTTTGGGCGAAGTTTTGGCTTTTGGTCAACTTCTCGGAAGTTCTGCTAGTTCTGTTCTAAAGTGGAAATAGTAATAATGATAATAACCACCTAGAAATAACACCAAACGTGATGTAGGCATCGACAATTTTCCGACACAGTATTTGATTTTAATTGAGAAAATGAACGTTAAATGTTTGTGCTTAAGAGCTCTCCGAGTGGTTAGTGGTAGTAGAGGGCGCTAAAAATAATCTTTTGAAATTTAAGTATAACGATTTTCGACAGCTAATATCTAAGAGGACCCGATAATTTCGGTTCGAATGAATCACATCATGTGGAATTAATTTGGGGGCTGACGGGTTAAGTTTAATTAAAAAAATGCTTTTCAGTTGAGAACTGTGGTAGTGATTTTCCCATCTTAAATGTGTTGCTATATGAATTACAAAGATGAAAAACGATATTATGAGGATGGGGTTTGAATTTTTTATTGAATGAACCCGGAGTGAACATGAAGGCGGCTGAATAGGATTTGTAAATAACGTACAATCCACACTCTTAAATCTATTACTATTTTTTATGATTTTGTCTCTCGAATATCGATTGACGTGAACATATATTGAAAATCGGTAATTGCCTTGTGAGCTCTCTCATGCGTTCCACTTTGCCTGGACACATCTGTCGTGCCATGTTCGTTCAAAACAGCTAGTTAACTATTCCGGAATTGTGTCCAATAAAGTGTTCGTTATTATAAAACCGCTGACATGCAAAACTTCTACTAATCAACTCTTTCCATTACCCAATGAAAGCGTCAATTCGGTTGATAATGGAAATTCTGAAAGCTCACTAACTTAACGCAATTGCAAGTATATGCACTGATAGGTTCCCGTCATGCCTATTACAACATTTGACGTTTGTTTCAGAAAATTTGCTTTGACACGTGTAACAGTTGAATGAATGGATTCAATAGTTTTTAGGAACTCTGAGATACTGGAAATCCTTGTAAAATAACATTCCACACAAAATAAACCAAAACTATAACAAAGGATGGAATACAAACAAAGTTATAGCTCTTTGTTGAATTTCATTTTTAGTGCCAATTGTTGCTACGCCCAACATCGGAAGTTGGAATTATGGGTTATCATCTGAACACCAGATGAGTGAAACAAAGTAATAAGGAATGAAGAGAGGTAGCTGTGGGTGATTAGATCTCCTAATTTCTTGGGAAGTTCCTGTTCACAGTACACAAAGTTGGTTGATTTCTTTGACTGCGTGGTAGCCACATCACCTCGATTTACACACTTCTTCATATAACTAGAAGAATCTAGATGTCACTACCATAGGCTTTTAAGATGTCTTGAATATATAGCTTCTGTTATTCGCTTTGGTCGTGATTGAGGGACGAGAACGACTTCGAATTTATTATTTAATCCATCATAGATACAGGTTGTTGGAGAGAGGGGGTTTATTGTTGTCTTCGCCTCATCAGCTTCGTCCAACACTGATGATACACTAATTACTTTTTTCAAAATCAACAAAAATTAACTTTATTATTCTTTGTATTTGCATAGACTTCCTTTTGTTAGTTTAAAGTTAATCTATGATTTTGGTAAACAAAAGTGCCTATTTTTGTTTTGACACAAAGAAAACATTATTAGGAAAGTACTGTACTCATAAAGTATTAAAATAGCTTTGTAAACAAGGCACCAAAATTGTTGCAATTTTGAAGAAATCATGCTTAAAGAATGCAGTCATGAAATTCTAAAGTGCACGCAACTACCTTGGCCGAACGAAGAAATCGCATGCACATTCAGACAGACTCGAAGGTGCGGCCGTGCTACTTGTCACGTAGGCGGCAAGTGCGTCGTGAGCGTAGAGACCGCCCAACCAACCACCAATCAATAGTAGCTGCATTGTTTAACAAACCCATCATTGTATTCTAATGACTAAGCACTGTGACACCCACACAGCCCGGTTTATCGTGTTCCAAGCCATGCAACTGTGTCTTCTAAATTGTTGTTTTAGTAACCTGGCCATGGGTTGTTCGAAATTTTCGAGCAAGAGTTTGTAGATAATTAAAAATACAATATTTTAAACAATTTCAGTCGATCTGTTGTGTGAAATACATCGAAGAGGTTGTTACAAGACAAATGAGTTGAGTTTCAATACTTTAAATGGGTGTGTCAACAGATAATTGGGTTAAAAAAAGAGAAAAAGGCCGTAATTTAACACACTTTTTAAAAAATTTAGGAGGTGAGTGTTGACGAGTGTTGGTAAATCGAAAGACCATTTTTTGAATTTCAACATCCATTCGTTTTCGCAACCGAAATTAAAGAATGGAGTTATATTGAAGGGGCGCGCGGTGGACGCAAGTTGCAAATCGATCTTCGTTAGCTCTAATTTCATTGCTTAGTGTCCAGTCGAGTTAAGTGCCACTAAAGTGATAAATGTGATCCATGGTTTTCTATTTACAATAATTAGAATAAATTAAATGCCAAAGTGACTCTCCTCTTTGCGTCTGCATTCGCATTCGCAACAAGAGAGAAACTCCAAGCTCCACTAACTTTTAAAGTCAAATACGATTATTTTGCGGTCTTAGCAATTAAATGAATGAATCGAGACTGTGCGACAGACCACTCTTTATTGAAAAAGTCACGTGTCATCTTAATATGATGATAAGCAGTTGGCGCAATCGATGGGGTGGCTAGTGAAATGCGAACTTTGGAGCGTGAGTCACCCGCTTAGTGAATACTATTCGAACAGAATTAAAACTCGAAAGAAGACACCTTCACTATTTACTGGATTTCTCGCAATTAAATACTATATGTTTTTGTATTGGTGTTTGTACTAATACCAACAGAGAGGAATAAATGCAACGCCTCATTCGTGGATATTACACTTTAACTTGCGGCACAAATCTAAAAAGGTAAAGTTTAGAAGCCAGAGAAAAAAGAAGAGTAAATTTTGGGAGGATGCCCAAATATGGGGGGGGAGATGCAAGGAAGAGCGAATGCTATATGAGTCACATAAAGTTGCAATAGCTAATTGAAATAAAAGTACGAGCTACTGATGGACGCTTGAGACGCAGCAGAACCCAGGCTTAATAAATGGTCCTTAGAATTGCAATGTAACAAGTACAGATATAACAAAGTAGAGCCTACGGAAAACAGTTTATTGACAGGTCTCAGCCCATTATAAATTTGAAAAAATACAAACAAACCAAATTTTTTCCTTTCCTCTTATTTGCCAGCAAAATGGCGGTTTTTGTCCAACCTGATTTATTGGACATTTGCGCATGTAAGTGATTGGTCTATTGATTTTATTCAGCATAAAACCGCTTGATATGAACATTTTATAATTATTCCATGCGCTTAATATTTACTATGTATTGGAAAATTGGTTTTTAGAATTCCCGCATTATAGTTTGCATTTTGATTATCAAAAATATCGACAAAATTTATGCCAAGCAAAAAACCATACGCGCATATCCTAGCGCCAGTCCATGTGACTACAGTGTACCGACAAGTATGGCGGCGTTAGACGGAGCGATTTAAACAAATGAACGAAAAAAAATTATTTCCGTGACTGTGCCAAGCCTTTATATTCAACAGAAATTGAACACGGATAGAATTTTCTTCTTGTGTGTTTCGTTTTAGAGGATGGACAATATAATAGAGGTCCTAGGTGAATGATTAATGAGAAATTAATGTATTTTTACTTAGAAGTAACAAATACAGAAAATTAAAAATATCAACTTACTTAGCATTCATTAGTTCACAGTAAGTTTTGAAAGTGTTTTTCCGCTTTAAATCGCCCATCTTTAAGCCCCATTCTTATTTTTAAAACCCCCTTGTTGATATCATTTGTTTGCCAATAACTACAAATGGTAATAAAACGTCAGTGTCAAGTTCAATCACTAAATTAAACCATCAAGATAAAAAGCTCTGCATTCCCTGAGGTCAGCTCGTGAAGATTAATGGCTCACATGTCTGCTAGGCTTGTAGCTGATTGCTACACAAATTTGCCTCGACTTATTCCCAGTAATCGCTATAGCAAGACCCAATTGTATGGAATGCCTCCCAAAATTAGCTAAGTTGCCTCAATGGAATGTAGGAAACAGATGCATGATGTGCAAAATGTGTACTGAGTTGTGTTAACACTGACAAGGAGCTTAGTCATCAAAACCAATTTAGGCTACGTTGACCATGGCGTGACCAGGGACAGTTGATTGGCTGAGAGGTCCTGCACTCGTGACCTCATTATCTCCCTATTGCTATCACCATCATTGGTGTACATTTTAGAATGTTCGAGAGCGTATGCGATCGATAGGTTTAATTGTGCTATGAGTGCGCACTCCATGGCCTTAATGGTCACATTATCACAAATAATATTGGATAATACTAGTCAGCTCCTCTCATCTAATCGTTTTCACCCATTTTGATTAATTCTATGCCCAAAACTCTTGCTATTTGATTCTCCGTTTTATACTTATTGTAACACTGCTAAATCGCCTATTCTGATGCTACCACATGATTGGCATTTGTAGATACTCTGCACGTTGCCATGGGTGATAATAGTGCAATAATAGTCCTTTAAAATATTGTTCATATTTAAGAGAGAATTGATAGTATAAACAGGTACATGATAGTAAACAAAATCAATCATTATTATTCGCCCACATTTTCTCCGGCCTTGAAAATATGAATGGTCAAATCGTTCTTTTTAGCGTAAAAAAATTTGGTATCCTGAACGGTTATAGCACTGAAATAAAAATAAAAGAGAAGTGAGATCAAGAATTTGCATAAGGGGTGGATAAAAATTTAACCTATTGTACTGCTATATTGATCAGCTC